CTCGAGCTATCTCTGAGTTGCTTAACTACCGAGATGCAAAAGCGCCACTTCCACGCAAAATGGAATGACCTCTGTTGAGTCGAAAGCGCACCGAAACACGAGTCCATCAAATAAGCCGAGGACTTTGATCTTACTAACAGAGAACACACTGTGGTAAATTTTGTATGAACAGAGTAAACCCTGAACATACCTATACAATGGTATCACTTGTATAAAATACCTTTTATCCATCACCATTCAACCCAGCACACTGCTCATTCATTCAACACAGAACAACATACGTCACACTCACCCTTCATCCATCCGTTATGATATACATACAATTAACACAGTCATTCCTCTGTGGGGTATATATATATTGACTTCGGCAACAGCATCGAACTTATCACGAATTATAGACATTACAGTGTATCGGTCTTTTAAATGATATTCTCTTCCCGCGAATTTGGGTTTGAACCACAGCCACCATGCGCACCGGGACAAAACAAAGTCCGAAATTCTGCCCTGCGTGCTACCGGTTTCCGTGATACCAGATTATGTGGTTCTCTAGTTCGATGCCATTTCAAATCATTCCTTCATCATTAGTTTATAGTCCCAGCAGACTAGAGATAGTAGTAGCACCTCTTTTCCCCAGGATTGCAATAACACCATGATGGAGTTTTTCATCAAGGTAACATGCCCCCGGGGTGATAGACTTGCACAGTCAATCTTCTGCATAGATGTTTTATATTCCAATACAATCCAGCAGAGTTTCACAAATCAATGTTGGATGTATTAAAAATTTCCGCGGAAGTGCCAGTTCACAATCACTAATACTCTTTTTTACATAATTTACAGAACCTTTACAACTATTGATCTTGATCCAAACAGTCTAATTTTTATCCTTTTGAATCGTTTTAAATTGAGGGGTTATATCCATCCACATTATATGATCAATATGTTGGGTTAGGGTCATAAATTTCAAATCCTAAAACAATTTAAAATACTATTAATCATGTTTATAACGATAACTACTCAGTGCCTAACCTTTTCCCGTCTTTATGGCAACATATAAACCTCGCGCCCAAAAGTACTTCTCGATTTTTAAAGAAAGACTTTAAAGACTTTTTCATATAACATCCATTATTATACAAAAAATGGGTTAAAAAATAACTTTTGTAAAGATAATCTAATATGCGAGAAGTTTTGAAATTATTTTCCAAATAGTTATAATTGACGATTTTGTTTTAATAATGATTACCACTCAGTGGCTGACCTATTCACCATTCTATGTACATGGATTCCGCGTCCAAAAACTTTCTAGTCTTTTGAAGATACGAACGAATCAAGCCAGTTTCGTATAACCTGTTTTAAGTGAAATGTATCCCAGCGAAAGCCTTCTGCATCCATCGAAACAAAATTAGTCGTACGGAACAAGTTCTTGACTATAAGGTGGGAGATTCAAAACTTCTCAACCACTTCCTTTAAATAGTTTTAAAGAGGTGTTGCAACATGCGGCCGAACATTGTCTAAATGTGTAGGCGATGCTCGCTTCAAACATTTAATCGTTACAATTTTCTTGTGATGGCCTGTACAGATTTCAGCAGCTCATAATAGATAGTTCCCACCGATCATTTTTTGCATTACACAGTGCAACACGAAAAAAGGCGCGTGTCCCCAATTTTGACCAAAGTCATGCACTTTTATAATGGTTATCTTTTTCTCAGGCTTTTGCAACCATAAAAAATTAGATTTTGTTTACTTTCAAGTGCTTCTCTAAATTAGGCGTATACTTAATATTTGTACTATCAATAAATATTTAACACGTATACATACAGGTGTCCGGCAGAAAGTCCCCTTTTATAGATTTTCATTCAATCAGGGCGCTGCGTGTTTAATTCTATGGTTCTATACTTAATATTTAAAAAATATATATTGAAAATTGTAGCAATTGCCTAATTTCATGCTTATAGCTTCTATGATATAGATAACTCAAAAAGTACTTTTTGAAGAACGAAAAGGTAACAAAAAGATCCCTTTTATAGGTTGTCATGTATTACGGGCTTTACATGCATAATTTTATGTTTCTATGTTCAATATTATAAAAACACTTATAAAGTACCATTTAAAGTGCGAAAAGGTATCAAAAAGTCTCCTTTTAAAGGTTCTCACTTACTCCTGGCTCTACTTTTTGAAGAACGAAACTGTCCCCTTTTAGTCATGTACGCCGGGCTTTACATGCTTTTCGTTTTTGAAGAACGAAAAAGTCCCATTTTATAGGTTCTCACTTACTCAGTACTTTTTGAAGAACGAAAAAGTAGCAAAATGACCCCTTTTATACATGCTTAATTTTATGTTACTAGGTTCAATATTATAGAAAATTAAAAAAGCACCTTAGAAAAAAGAAAAAGTATCAAAATGTCCCCTTTTGTAGATTCGCATTTACTCCGGGCCCTACATGCTTAATTTCATGTTTATAGGTTCAATCTTATAGAAAACTCAAAAAGTACCTTCTGAAGAATGAAAAAGCACCAAAAAATTTCCTTTTATAGATTTACATGCTTAATTTTACCTTTTGAACAACGAAAAAGTACCAAGGAGTCTTTTTCACTGTTCCCACTTCACTTCCTTCAAAAATACCTTTTGAAGAACGAGAAAGTATCAAAGAGTCCCCTTTTATAGGTTCTCATGTACTTCAGGCTCTACTTGCTTAGTTTCATGTTTCTAGTTCAATATTATAGAAAATTCAAAAAGTACCTTTTGAAGAGTGAAAAAGCACCAAATATTTCCTTTTATAGGTTTACATGCTTAATTTTACCTTTTGAACAACGAAAAAGTACCAGAGTCTTTTTTATACGTTCTCACTTCACTTCCTTTAAAAAAAAGTACCTTTTGAAAAACGAAAAAGTATCAAAATGTCCCCTTTTATAGGTTCTCACTTACTCTACAGGGCTCACTTACTCTACAGGGCTCACTTACTCAGGGCTTATCACGCTTTTCATGTTTCTAGGTTCAATATTTTTAATTTTTCCTTTTGAAGAACGAAGAAGTACCAACGACTATATTTTATACGTTCTCACTTCACTTCCTTCAAAAAGTACCTTTTGAATAACGAAAAAGCATCAAAATGTCCAGTTTTATAGGTTCCCACTTACTCAGGGCTCTAGATGCTTAATTTCATGTTTCTAGGTTCAATGTTATAGAAAACTCTAAAAGTTCCCTTTGAAGAACGAAAAAGCACCAAAAATTCCCTTTTATAGGTTCTCATGTACGCCGGGCTTAACATGCTTAATTTTAACTTTTGAAGAACGAAATGTATCAAAATGTCCCCTTTTATAGGTTCTCACTTACTCAGGGCTCATCACGCTTTTCATTTTTCTAGGTTCAATGTTATAAAAAACTCAAAAAGTACTTTTTGAAAAACGAAAAAGTATCAAAATGTCCGTTTTATAGGTTCTCACATACTCCCGGCTCTACATGTTTAATTTATACTTAGGTTCAATGTTATAGAAAATTCAAAAAGAACCTTTTGAGGAACAAAAAAGTACCAAAAAGTCACCTTTTGCACATGTTTAATTTTATGTTTCTAGGTTCAATATTATAGAAAATTAAAAATGTACCTTTTGAAGAAAGAAAATGTATCAAAATGTCCCCTTTTATATGTTCTCACTTACTCCGGGCCTTACATGCTTCATGTTTCTAGATTCAATGTTATAGAAAACTCAAAAAGTACCTTTTGAAAAGCAAAAAAGCACCAAAAAATTCCCTTTTATAGGTTCTCATGTACGCCGAGCTTTACATGTTTAATTTTACCTTTTGAAGAACGAAAAAGTACAAAAGAGTACCTTTTGAAGAACGAAAAAGTATCAAAATGTCCCCTTTTATAGGTTCTGACTTACTCAGAGCTCTACACGCTTAATTTCATGTTTCTAGGTTCAATTCTTATAGAAAATTGAAAAATGTACTTTTTGGCGAACGAAAAAGTGCCAAAATTGTCCCATTTTATATCTAATAAGCTAATAACAACACACAGCTTCACTCGTAACGTGTTGTTCTAGCTTTTCTTTGTTTTTATAAAGTAAGTAGAACAAAATTTACCGTATGATGCTGTGTGTTGTTGTTGTTTATTAGTTTTGTCTAAGCATGCCCCAAAAATCTGCATTTTGAATGAAATTTTCTACGTTATTTATGAACCGATTTTGCTTATTTTATTTATTAAAGTTTTGGATCTCTCAGATATCTGGGGTCTTATGAAAACTGAACATACACACGGACAGATAGACAGTCAGACAGACATAGCTCAATCGATTGCGTTATCTATAAGGATCCAGAATATATATACTTTATAGGGTCGAAAAATTTTATTTTAGAAATTTCAAACGGTATGACAATGTTATATATACCCTTCTCAAGTAGGTGGTTTTTATATATGTAGTTTATGGCAATAGCTACAACTTTGCCTCAGAGAGTAAATCAAAATTCCGAATGGGGGCCATAAAATAAAGCAAGTTCTAGGGCAAAACTGGGAGACACGGATTTTTTTTTTGTCTTTTATCACGTAGTGGTGTCTTTCTTCATAAATTTCTGGAGTGAATGCTAAGACTGTTTCTTAGGAGGGATGAGCCTCTTCATATTAAGATGACTTGTTAGTTAAATGTGTTTATTTTTCGTATTTAAAGAGAGAGTGGGAACAAACCAAAATCACCTTTATTTATAAAATTTATTATGTCTTCTGAGGATCTATATATTGGCTTTTAATTTAAAAAGTACCTGTTAAAAGCTAGAGATGAATTTCTAAAGATCTGGGTTCAGATGTTTTCAAATTTTGTCACCCTAAGTTATCGTTTCATAATTTTATTAAATTTTTTAAGCATGTTCATTTTTGACTTTAGAAAGAAAAAAACTAAATAAAATTGTAAAAATTAATTTCTTAAATGTAACTGCTTTTGAACTTTGACCTTAAATGAGAACAAAACTATTATAAAAGAAAAACCATTTTTTTACCATAAACTATATTTCAGATGTAATTTATTAATACCGCAACACATGGCACTTTAAAATGGGGGCTGATTTTGACTGGTTTAACAATGGCAGACATAACAACAACAACAACAACAACAACAAAATAAGAAATGAGAAAAACAACAACAACAACAAAATTATATTATTTAAAATAAACAAAAAACCAACAACATTTTACTTTACAAAAAAAAACTTTACAACAACAAAAACAAATCTTTTATATACAAACAAATATATATAATTGAAGAAATACAACAATACAGAGAAGCAACAACTTAAAAAACAACAACAACAAAATATTTAAAAGAAAAATAAATGGATAAAAAAATTCAAAACAGTAAAGGAAAGACTAAAAAAACAACAACAAACAAAATATTATTTAAAAAAATATTTAAGAGAAAAAATAAAACAACAACAACAGATAAATTTTGCTAAAATGCAAAATTTTGTAATTTATTAACAAATAAAAAAAGATGAAAAACAAAAATTGTAATTAAAAAATTAATTATTAAAATAACAACAAAAAGGAACTGAAATTTAAACAAAAGAAATAATAACAAATAACTAAAACAAACCATTAAAAAAAAGAAATATTTTAGTAAATTGAAAGGAAAAAAAGAACAGAACAGAACATATAAATTTGTAAAAGATAATCAAGACGTTTCGTAAACGCAGCAATTTAATAATGAAGTTTAAGCAAAGAACATGATTACAAACAAGAATATGTTAAAGGGAAAGGTTTAAATCGTTTTTGTGAAAAAGGAAAAAAACGAAATTTATTAAAATATTTAATAATAAAAATGCTTACAATTTAAAGCAAAAATTATAAAAAAGAAAGAAATAAACTATTTATTAAAACAGAAGAAAAAGTATGTTCTTAATAATAATAATAATTATGTTTGTTTTTTATTAATTATAAAAATATATTTTTGTTATATTTTTAATATTATTTATTATTTAATGTTTTCTTTATTATTTGTTTTTATAGTTTGAGAACATACTTTTTTTTTTATCTGTAAAACAAACATTTTGTTTGTGATCATTAGCTGTAAACCCGTTTTAGTAGAATTTACTTAAGTGAGAGGGAATTTTGTCGGAAAGCTTAAGTGAAATTTTGTAAGTTTATGCTAAAACGGTTAACGAGCTTTTGAATATTTAATTTCATTTTATAAATGACATTTTATAGAAAAAAATATAGATTGAGTTTTTAGTATTTCGAAACACTTTTTTTTAACAAAGAACATTTTATTAGAGTTTAAGAATTTTTGCAAATTTTTTATAAAAAAAATCCCCGAGAGTAAAGAGAACAAGTTTTTCTGGATATTTTTGTTCTTTAAAAAAAAAAAACTGTTATACAGAATTTTCTATACAACAAGCAGTTATGGAATAAGTTTTCTATAGAAAAACAAATAGGCAGAAAGTTTTCTTTAAAAAAAATCTCATTTACAAGAAATTTTCTTTAAAAAATGTTTATGCAGAAAATTTACAGTGGAAAAAACTGTTATACACAAAATTTTTTTAAAAAGAACAAAATGCTATAATGAAATATTTCTATAGAAAAAATGTTATATGGAAAATTTTCAGCATAAAATGTTTATGCAGGAAATTTACAATGGAAAAAACTGTTATACACAATTTTTTTTAAAAAGAACAAAATGCTATACTGAAATATTTGTATAGAAAAACTGTTATATGGAAAATTTTCTATATAAAATTGCTATCAAAAAAGTTTTTAAAAAACTGTTATACAGACAATTTTCTATGGAAAAATTGATATACAGAAGCAATAAAATACTGTTATACCCGAAAATCCACTAAACAATAGGTTTTTCTTAGAAAAACTGTTATACAGAAATTTGTCCATAAAAAATAATTACACCAGAAAATGTCTACAGAAAAAAAGTGTCATACAATAAGTTTTCTTAAGAATAACTATAATATTATAAGTTTTCTTTAGAAAAAACTGTTATACTGAAAGTTTACTATAGAATAAAACGGTTGTATATAAATTTTTAATAAAAAAAAACTATTATAACGGAAAATTTCTATAGAAATAGAAAACTATTATACAAAATAGAAATCTATTATACAAAAAGTTTTCTTTAGAAATACTGAAAATTTTCTATAGAAAAAACAGTTATACCGAAAATTTTTTATATAAAAATGTTTATACTGAACATTTTCGGTAAAAAAACTGTTATACAGAAGTTTTTTTATAAAAAGTTTAATGAGTATGAGCAAAAAAAACTGTCAGCAAATTTCTATAGAAAAAAACAGTTATACAATAAGTTTTCTTTAGAAAAAACTATTATACTGAAAGTTCTCTATAGAAAAAACAGTTATAGCGAACATTTTTTATATAAAAACTTTTATATTGAACATTTTCTGTAGAAAAAAAACTGTTTTAGAGAAGTTTTTCTATAGAAATTTTATTGAGTATGAGCAACAAAAAAAACTGTCGGCAAATTTCTATAGAAAAAACAGTTATACCGAACATTTTTTATATGAAAACTTTCTGTAGAAAAAAACTATTTTAGAGAAGTTTTTCTATAGAAAAAAACTGTTATACAAAAAGTTTTTTACTTCAAAAAACTGCCTGTTCTTAAAAAAACATTTTCTGTAGAAAGAACTCTGATACAGAAGTTTTTCTATAGAAAGTTTAAAACTGCCGGCAAATTTCTATAGAAAAAACAGTTATAAAATAAGTTTTTACTGAATATTTAACAAAACTGTTATACAGATAATTATCTACGTAAAAATTGTCATACAAGAATATCTTCTATAGAAAAGCCTTCTTTCGAAAAAGTATAACACTGAAAATGTTCAATAGAAAAAACTGTTATACAGAATTGTTTCTATACAAAGTTTTATGTATAAACTTTCAACAAAAAACTTGTGGCAAAGTTATTCTTATAAGAAAACTGTAATATGAAAGATATTCTATAAAAAACATGTCTAAAGGAAAAACAATTTTACCCATAAGAAGTTTCATAAGAAAAGCTTTAAAAATAGCTACGTTCAGACCTATCAAATATTTGATGAAAAAGTCTTAGGCACTATTTTTTGTAAATTTATTTTTGATTCTGTATGATCTTTGTAATTGCAAATAATGTCGTAACAAATAATAAACACGTTCTAAATAAGTATATATTTAAAGAAATTCAAAAATGTCGTTTTTTTAGAGATCACGTCATTTTCGTCAAATATTTGATAAGTATGAACTTAGCATTATATTTAAATTATATTATTAAAGAAAGAATTCTATTATTAATGAAAATATTATCCTATTTATGAAACACTTCAAGTAACATCTTTTAATTAAATTAAAATTCAGACAAAAATTTCAGAATATACAAATAGAATAATTGCAAAAATTCTTACCATCTTATTGATAATCATTTATTAAAGGTTTATAAAAAACTCTTTGATAAATGATTATGAATACATAAATAAATAGTTCTTTATTAAAAAAGTAAACGATTTTTCGGTGGTTTGTCATAATGTCCAATGTCATAATGTCCATGGAAACTGTGACACTTTTAAAACATAAATATATTTGATTTGAATTTCCGAAAGAAGTGCTCCTTTTAAAGTATTTTCTTAATATGTGGCCAATTTTCAAGCCATGGACTTCATGTACTATGTTCATGGAAATTGTGACACTTTTTAAAAGTGTCAGAAAGAAGCACATTTTTTAAACGTCTGAATATTTCGAACACCGACTAAGCGAAATTAAGTATTCTTTGATATGGAGCGCTTTTTCAGGCCATGGACTTCATGTCACTATGTTTATGGACATTGTGTCACTTGAAAAGCGTCAGAAAGAGTCACTCTCTTTTAAACTCCGGGGTATTTCGAACGCCGACTAAGCGAAATTAAGTATTCTTTGATATGGAGTCGTTTTTAAAGCCATGGACTTCATGTCACTATGTTCATGGACATTGTGACACTTTCAAAAAGTGTCAGAAAGAGTCATGCACTTTTAAAATCCGGGGTATTTCGAACATCGACTAAGCGAAATAAAGTATTTTCTTGATATGGTGTCGTTATTAATGTCATGTATTCATGTCAATATGTTTATGGACAATGTGACACTTTTAAAAAGTGTCAGAAAAAGGCAGTCTTTTTAAACTGCGAGGTATTTTCAACACCGATTAAGCGAAATTAAGTATTTTTTTGATATGGGGCACTTTTTCAAGCCATGGACTTTATGTCACTATGTTCATGTTTTGAAAAGTGTCAGAATGAGGCACTCTTTTTAAACTTCTGGGTTATTTTCAACACCGACTAGGCGAAATTAAGTATTTTTTTGATATGGGACACTTTTTCACGCCATAGACTTTATGTCACTATGTTCATGGACAATGTGACACTTTTAAAATGTGTCAGAAAGAGGCAGTTTTTTTAAACGTCTGAGTTTTTCGAACATCGACTAAGCAAAATAAAGTATTTCCTTGATATGCAGTCGTTTTTAAAGCCATGGACTTCATGTCACTATGTTCATGGACATTGTGACACTTTTGAAAAGTGTCAGAAAGAGTCACTCACTTTTAAACTTCTGGGTATTTTGAACATCGACTAAGCGAAATAAAGTATTTCCCTGATATGGAGTCGTTTTTAAAGCCATGGACTTCATGCCACTAGTATTCATAGACATTGTGACACTTTTGAAAAGTGTGACACTTTTTGAAAAGTGTCAGAAAGAGGCACTTACTTTTAAACTCCCACAAAATTAAGTATTTTCTTGATATGGGACGCTTTTTCTAACCATGTCACTATTTTTATGGTCATTATGACACTTTTTTGGTGTGACCAAGGACATAATAGCGTAATGTTCCTGGACATTATGACACGCCACCGATTTATCCCTATAAAAAACTCTTAACTATTATTGTATTGTTATAGTAGGGAAATAAAGCCAAGCCTTTTAAGAATAATTTATATATATATTTTTTATAATTTCACATAAAATAATTGAATTTTGCAAAAAAAAAATTGCAACAAAAATTAGACACACATTAACATTTTGTATGATTTCTTATTACAAAATGAAACTCAAAACAATGAAAACACAAATTTAATCATGAAACATATTGAAAACCATGCAATAAAATCAAGGGAAATTAAATAAGTCAACAGTTAGAAAAAAAAATAATATTTAAAAAAAATAGTAGATTTTTTATTAAAAACAAACAAACAACAAAAAACATATATATAGAGTTTAGAAGAAGTTTAGACATTAACAAAAAAAAGAAAAACCATAAAGAGCAAAGAAAATGTAGTATATTTAGAGAAATGTTTTTTGAAATGATGTAATAGTTTTTGTATGTATGAAATTAGGAAAGCATACGATACACTTGCAGAAAGAAAAATGCTTAG